TAACTCCAGCTCTGACTCCAGCTCTGAGATCCCGGCTTGCTGAAAGCAGGTTTCTGGAGTTTTTTTTAGCTTCTATATGTTACTATGTTTCAAACTGCCCGCTTAGAGGCCTGCAGCCGCAGGCGGGGAACGTTGGAGTCTGCTGTCACTGAAGCAAGCAAGCCTTATGTTCAGTTTAAGCTGCCTGGCTGCCGGCTGCCATCTTGGCTGTCAGTTAATTTGCATATCTCGCTGATTAGCCAATGGGAAGGGTAGTGGTTGTATGCCAATTACCATGTTTCTCTTTTATTAGTGTAGATATACTTTTATGAGACTACTGAAATCCAGTCGTATGTTACAATTTGATTACCTCCATTGGATTTTGGTGCTCATTCTCTGAGGATAGTTTTCTTTGGGTGTATATTGAGAGCTACTATCTTGTTAGTCCTTTGTACTTCTAGGTGGAGTTTCAGACAGTGTGTGGGATGTTAAGGGATACCTCAACTTGATCCAGGTTATTGTTAGGGAATAAGAAAGGAGTCAAGAGTGTGATAGGAATTAAAGCACAATAAATTTATTAAAGTGATAGTCTGAACTAGAGAAGTGAGAGTAGGTGACCTCATACCGAATACCTCAGTGGGGTCTGGGTGGAAGATTTTTATTAAACGTGGGCAAGGGGGGGGTGGAATGGGATGGTCCTCTGCTTGTGACACTGGGGGATGACTGCTGCTGGCATTCATCCTTGTCTCTTCTCAGGGAACAGGTGGTCAGTGAGGGTTGTGTGTGTGATGTTCCAGCCAAGTTGAAGGAGGATTAGAGCTTGCGGCCTTTGTTCCCTATTCTAACTTTCCTGCCTCATGAGGATAGTATTTTGGGGTACAAGATTGTAGAGTGTGAGGGTGGTGGACGAGTGTATTCCCTGTATCCGTACACTTTAAAAAAAATCCTCACCCATGGATATTTTTCACTGATTTTAAAAAGAGGAGGGGAAGAGAGAGAAATATCAATGTGAGAGAGAAACATTGATCAGTTGCTTCCTGTATGTGCCTTGATTGGGGATGAAACGGCAACCTAGGTATGTGCCCTGACTGAGAATTGAACCCGCAACCTTTTTGGTGTACTGGACAGTGCTCAACCAACTGAGCCACCCAGCTGGGCTGGATACTTTTTTTTTTCTGGACCTCCACTAAACTCAAGAAAGGGGATTTCCTTTTTTCATACTGAATACCTTTTTTTTATACCCATCCCTGATCTAATCCTTAAGGTTAGAGTGTGAATCACCCATTGTCCAAATCTCAGTTTTCTTAGAATATCATCAGTAGTGAAAAGTAGACTGTCTTCAGTTTCAACCCTTTCAAGGCCAGTCCTGATTTGGATGTTCCCCATTTAATCACACTCTGGGCAGTTGGTGTAGAGCTGGAAGAATTGGGTTGTTGATATTCTTGATCTGTTTCCCTAATCAGAACCTAAATTTTTACCTGTTAGCTTAGCTTGGGTTTTTCTTTTTTTAAGCTTTTTTTTTTTTTAACCTGCCACCTAGTGGCTGTAATGTTGCTATGTATTGACAAGCTGCCACAGATATTACCAAAATAATGAGACTGCCATATAAGATGTATCTCCCTTATCTTCTCTTCCCATGTTAAGTTTATCTTTAAAATATGCCATCAATACCCTAATTGGTTTGACTAAGTAGATAGAGCATCGGCCCGTGGATTGAATGGTCCTGGGTTCGATTCCGATCAAGGGCATGTATCTTGGTTGTGGGCTCTATCCTCAGGAGGGGTTGTGCAGGAGGCAGCTGATCGATGTTTCTCTCTCATTGATGTTTCTAACTCTATCCTTCTCCCTTTCTCTCTGTAAAAATCAGTAAAATAATATTTTCAAAATATGCTCCATCTCCTTTTGAAGAAATGAGGAAATGTGTCTTATAAAATCTGGTGTCAGTATTGAAATAAATTTAACATGACCTGGTTTTTCTGTTTCATTGGATTCTTTTTCACTGCAGGTAAATGCAAATGTTTTTTGATCTACTCATAGACCTTCTTTGAAGGAGTATCTGACATCCAGGAAAGGTGAAGGAAGTTTTGTTAAGAAAAAATGCATGTTAATTACTTAAAAGTTTATGAAATTATTTTAGACCTGCCAAACTTTACTAAGTAACAGTACATGATGAAAATATTCTTTGAAAACACAAATTTAACTACCTTTTCTTTTGAAGGGGAATGCTTGCAATAGTTAAAAGTACAGGATAAGGGACATGCAAATTAGTTGTCATTAGTAATCGCTGAGAAAAGGAAGGAAGCACATTACTTTTGCAGCCAAAATGGAGGTCACAAAAATTATGCATTAAGGTTCTTAGGGTATTTACTTATACTTTTGACACAATCTAATAAACTTAATTTCTGATTAGAAGGGGCTGTCAAGGAAGGGACTTTAAAGAGGTAACCGTGTTGACCACCTGACATCCAAGGAGAAAATAGAAAAACTGAAAACAGACAGGAACTAAAGAGGAATACCAATTTTGACTCATTTACTACTATTATAAGATCAAATAACAACTTGAAAAATGTATGCCTGATATTTTTATGTGTAGAATGGAAGCTTGTGCTTGATTGCTAACTTCTCTTGTGTATCCAGCAGTCAGTATTGATAGAGTTGTGAGTCTCAACAGGGAATGGTGGGGCTTATAAACTAGAGAGCATGTGTCCTACCTAGTGAAGCACATGTGACTTTGCTCTAACTGATTTTTACCAAGAGGAAATACAGGCACAGTATTACTTTGTTTTCCTATTTTTACAAAGAAAGTAAACATCTAGCTGTATTATATGAAATTATTTAGCTATTAGATATTGACAACTAATTTAAATGTCTTAAGAGTTCCATTTGGGCCAAACCAATAATTTCTGACATAGGCTGCTTGTGACCTCTTGTGAAAAAGATCTAAGGAATTGGTGGTTAAGCTACCTTTTCAAATTCTTCCAGGCTTCAGGTAACCTAAAAATACAGTGGGAAAGAGAAGAAAGAAGAGGACTTACTCATTTTGGTTTTGCTAATCATGATGCATTTATTTATGCAACTTCTCTTTATGAGCTTTTTTAAAAAATTAAAATAGGCCTATTGATCATTAACTTTGCTTTTTGTTTCTTTTTTTCAAATTTGAAACAGGAACTGACCACATCTCAGAAAAGTGGTGGGAATGTTCTTCAGATGATGTATGAGAAACCTGAGCGATGGTCTTTTACCTTCCAGGCATATGCCTGCCTCAGTCGCATACGAGCTCAGCTTGCCTCTCTCAACGGCAAGATCAAAGATGCGGAGAAACCTGTATTATTTTTTGAACGATCTGTGTATAGTGACAGGTATATATAATTACTTGTATTTATCAGGTTGGATCCTTGGCTCAGAACTGGAATTTTTTTTTTCTTCTTTCTGTTTCTTTGGATTCAAAGTAATAAGAGAGGTTGAGTTGGGGATTTGAGATGGAGAATGACATTTAATACTTTTAGCAGTTTCAAACTAACGGCATTAGGGAAGTTATAGTATTTGCTAGAGGCCCGATGCACAAAATTAGTGCAAGAGTAGGCCTTCCTGCCCCTGGCTGCCAGCACCAGCTTCCCTTTGGTACCCAGGACCTGGGCTTCCATTACACACCCCTGGCTTCTTCTGGAAGGTTGTCTGGAAGGATATCCAGTCTAATTAGCATATTATACTTAGTATTATAGGTAATTTCTAGATTCCATGGAAACTATAGGGAATATGTGGCCATCTCATTCAAATTTGTAGAGAAATTTTTTTCCTCCAACCCTCTTAAAATTCTCATCTGCTCTGGTTAAATCTGAACTATATTCTATCTAGACTCACCTGGAGCAAGAAGGTAAAAAATCTTTAAGGGGGCCTTGGAATTACCCTGGGTATGCAAGGATTCTTTTAATCTCTAGAGTTAGCTCAGAACAGGGGTTCTCACACTTTTGTTCTCAGGACCCCTTTCCATTCTTAATAATTATCAAAAAGTTCAAAGATTTTTGTGTCTTATTCATATTTCTGTTATTAGAAATTAAGATTGAGAAATGGAAAAATTTATTTAAAGTTAGCTATAAAAACTCATTATATATAAACATAAATAACATACTAGTGAAATTTACATTTTTCAAAGCAAAAAGAAATAGTGAGAAGAGCATTTTACATTTCTGTGAATCTCTTTAATGCCTGATTTAATGGAGGACAGCTGGGTTCTCATTTGTGGTTCTGTATTTACTCTGTTGAATATATTTTTTTGGTTGAAGTATAAAGTTATCTGGCCTCTCACACAAAACCCCTGGAAAGGTCTTGGGGCGTACCAGGGGTTCTCACACCACATTTCTGAGTACCACTGGGCAATACATAATTTTCTGTATTTGGAGATACGCTATTGGTTTTTTTTTCCTGTTATCCAAGGCATTATCTGCCACAGGTTTTAGGAGAAGTTTCTATGTCCATTTGGTAGATCCATCTTCTCTTTTCTATTTCTCTGTATTTTTTGGAAAGGATTTATGTAAACTCTCTTTCAGGTATATTTTTGCTTCTAATTTATATGAATCTGAATGTATGAATGAAACAGAGTGGACAATTTATCAGGACTGGCATGACTGGATGAATAACCAATTTGGCCAAAGCCTTGAACTGGATGGAATCATTTATCTTCGAGCTAGTCCAGAGGTGAGACAATAAACATTTGCTTGTTCCTTTGAAAATTTATTTATTTATTTATTTTTAAAAATATATTTTATTGGTTTTTTACAGAGACGAAGGGAGAGGGATAGAGAGTTAGAAACATCGATGAGAGAGAAACATCTATCAGCTGCCTCCTGCACACCCCCTACTGGGGATGTGCCCGCAACCAAGGTACATGCCCCTGACCGGAATCGAACCTGGGACCCTTCAGTCCGCAGGCCGATGCTCTATCCACTGAGCCAAACCAGTCAGGGCTCCTTTGAAAATTTAAAGTAATATTTGGAAAATTTCCAGTATTATGCAGTGAAGGCAGAATAATAAACTTCACTCTCAACCCTCTAGATTCCTACCTCCAAATTAAAAACTGAGAACTGTGTAGATAGAAGCATTCTATTTTCTCAGCAAACTAGAAACCCAGATTTGGCAGGTTGCTCTTTTAGGTTCTTGTTTGTTCTACCTCAGTTCTATTCTTCATTATTTCTTAACTTTTGCAGAATCTCTTATCACAGCTAGATTAAGAAACTTGCTTAAGCAACTTCTAGAATATGGGCTCTATGAGGTGAGACTTTGGATATTTTAGTTACTGTTGAATTTTCACTGTCTAGAATAAGGCTTGGATACACAGTAAATATTTCCTGAATGAATGGCAAAATTGATAGAGGATATCTGTCGTGGTTTTGGTTTGGAATGGGTGGGTAGTAGCAGCTATAGTTGAGAAGAGACTTAGTGGACCCTTGCCATTTTTAGTTAAGGGAGTTTACTTGAAATTGTGCCTTTCATCATAGGTTGTAACAGCTATTGTTTACATATGAAATTATGTAATGAATGCAGGAAGACCAAGTGGGATGCCTTTCATAAAACTAACCTAAATGAGAGCTTACATTTATTAAATTTCTGGTTTTGGTGCTTGCATTCCCATTTTTCTTTGATTTTTATTTCTACTTATTCCTTGAGTCACAAAGTAGGTTCTGATGAATGTAAATGTTACGACTCCTAGCCTGATAGAATACTGTGTTATATTGAAGCTCAGTTTTCAAAGGAACTATGTTTTTGATTCTAGGTGATGATTTTGTTCTTCTAATATCAAGTAAACCAGAATTTAATAATAATTTTGAAATTTACTTTTATTTCTGAAAATAATTTTTTAATTATGAAAATAAATGCAAATATAGAAGAAGGAATAATGATAATTTCATTGTTAGAAACAGATAATATCTTAAAGTCTAATATAAATCTTATTTCATTAATATTATTTATGATATCCTTTGATTAGAGGATCATTTAATTATTTGAAAAGAGAATTTATAATAGAATTAGCAGCACAGTTTTATTCTGAATTTTTTTGCTTTTTATCAAACTTATTTTAGACAATACATTTCAAATGTGGGTGCCAAAGGTTTATAGACTTATTTTTGAAAGTGCTATTTGGTTTAGAGCCACCAAATCGTTGAAAAGTATAGGGAGGGAAAAAGGAACTATTGTTTGTTCTTAGAAGGAATAGAGATTTTCGTTAGCATGACTGAAAAGACACTAAAGAAGAAAAATTTAATGGCATCAGACAAGAATAATTGTCCCCCCCACTCTCTCTTTTTTATTTTTTAATATATTTTTGTTGATTTCAGAGAAGAAGAGAGAGGGACAGAGAAATTGAAACATCAATGATGAGAATCATTGATCAGCTGCCTCCTGCATGCTCCCTACCCCCTCTTGGGGATCAAGCCTGCAACCCAGGCATATGCCCTTGACCGGAATCGAACTCGGGACCCGTCAGTCCCCAGGCTGATGCTCTATCCACTGAGCCAAACCAGCCAGGGTTATCCTCTCTTCTTATTGCTTGCTTTTAGAAATGCTTGAATAGAATATATTTACGGGGAAGAAATGAAGAACAAGGCATTCCTCTTGAATATTTAGAGAAACTTCACTACAAGCATGATAGCTGGCTCCTGCACAGAACACTGAAGTAAGACTTCCTTATTCTTTTTTACTACTCATTTTTATACTTTTGTCAGATTTTAATTAAAAATGTACAATATGTCCAATTTTTTATTTTCGAATTAGGTGTGGATTTTGATTCTTTTTATTTCAATGAGATCCATTTCCTTAAAGTTTTTATAGCTAATTTCCCCCAGTGGTATTGACAGCATAATATAAGGAATTTCACATTAAGTGATAAAGTAGGAAATATATCTGTGTATATTATTTAGGTACTCTCTTTCAGAGACTATTTTAAGATAAGACATTTCACATTTGTTCCTTAGATCAAGACTTGGGAGATAGTATAGCATAATTTTTAAGAGTATGTACCTTGGACAATCTCTGAGTTTCAGAGTGGTCTCCTTGAACTTTAGTTTTATCATCTTTAAAATGCAGACATTCCTCCTACTATCCAGTATGTTTTTGGTTTTTGAGGACTATTACATATCACAATGCCTAGCTTTATATATTATACCTGAGATTTTTAGATATGTGTACGTAAATCTAGGTGAGAAAGAAGGGGCTGTCCGATGAAGTACTTGCATAATAACTTTAATAGAAAAATGACTGACATTTTGATTTTTCTGTGTTATAATAATGTTTTTAGTTTTTCTCTTTTTTATTTTATTTATTTATTATTATTATTTTTTTATTGCTTACAGTATTACAAAGGGTATTACATATGTGTCCCTTTTTTTCCCCAGCCCTTGACAATCCCCTGGCCTCCCCTACCCCCCAGTGTCTTATGTCCATTGGTTATGCTTATATGCATGCATACAAGT